GGATACATCGGAGAATAATATTAGTACAAAAAATCAAAATCAAACCGCTTGATCAATCGTGAGATCATTGTCTAGGCACCTGTGCAATTAACCGTTAAAGCCATGCATAAGTATCTTCTATCCATCCTTTTCGGATCCTTTCAGTACTTAACGATCAAGGCACGTTTTGGGAGAACAGAATATATTTTTAAAGTTTTCCGGCAATTTTCTTCCGACACTTGACTCCTAATACAGCTACAACCTCAGACAAATCGTTGGGATACAAGTAGATATCTCAGTTGCGCCCTCGCTGTAACAACGGACGTCTACGGTTTGAGTTTTGATTGAGCATCTCCGGGTTTGTCAAGGTCTGGAATGGGGTTCCTGATCTCGCATTCCCGCTCCTTTATCCCGGCAATCCCGTGTCCCGTACTTCTGTCATAACAATCCCGAACACTGTTTTCTTTCCCAATACCGTATCCCGTGCTAAGATCCCGTATCCCGTACTTCTGTCATCTCTATCCCGAACACCGTTTTCTTTCCCAATACCGTATCCCGTGCTAAGATCCCGTATCCCGTAGTTCTGTCATCTCTATCCCGAACACCGTTTTCTTTCCCAATACCGTATCCCGTGCTAAGATCCCGTATCCCGTAGTTCTGTCATCTCTATCCCGAACACCGTTTTCTTTCCCAATACCGTATCCCGTGCTAAGATCCCGTATCCCGTACTTCTGTCATCTCTATCCCGAACACCGTTTTCTTTCCCAATACCGTATCCCGTGCTAAGATCCCGTATCCCGTAGTTCTGTCATCTCTATCCCGAACACCGTTTTCTTTCCCAACACCGTATCCCGTGCTAAGATCCCGTATCCCGTAGTTCTGTCATCTCTATCCCGAACACCGTTTTCTTTCCCAATACCGTATCCCGTGCTAAGATCCCGTATCCCGTAGTTCTGTCATCTCTATCCCGAACACCGTTTTCTTTCCCAATACCTCATTTCGTGCCACGATCCCGTATTTGCGTTTCGTGTTCCTCGAAAGATGGTTAAGTTTAACCCAGGATTAAGCCAAATTTCAAGCACGGTTTTCTCGTCTAAGAACAAGCAACTCGAGGTTACAAAATACCGTTGAGCCTTTACTCCGAGAAACAGTAATGATAACACAAAATGTTACCCTAAGCAATGCACAGGAACGTAAAATACAAAAACGGAACAAATTTTAATTCTGGATTAACCCTGATGGGCCTTTTTAGGAACTGGGCCCTGGAGAATACCCTTCTAGACCCTGGTTTATCACTAGAGTAATGCCAACCACTGAGACTGAAAGGAGAGATTATTGACCCAATACCCATCACTAATAAACTAACCCTCAACATATTTAAAATGACAGCTTGCCAGTCGCTGGTCGGTAGTCTTGCTTAACGAGTTGTATGCTTCTTTAAGGGCGAACTCATAGGATTTTCTAAGTTCCATAAGTTGGCGTCCCTGAATTTTCCGAAACTTGGGCGTTTTCTCAATCTCATTGATGGAGCGAAGTGGATGCACGAGAGCTGGCACTAGCCACGCACGAGAACGAGGTCGGCCAAAGAACTCCACGTGATAATGCGTTACCTCGTCTTCTTTGATCAGCGGTGCGTCGTAGTACTCTCCGCAGGTTGGATCCCTTGTTAAGAGACCTGGCCAACTAGATTGTAATCAATAAATATGAATGAGTAATTCGATCTCTCCAGGTATTTAAATGAATAGTAATGGGTACAAGCAATTATTCATAGAAATAAATCACAGCATTTGTTGATAATTTACTGGGAAAAAAGAATAGCATAGGTCCAAAAAGGGGTCACGGTAACCTGTAGGTGAATTCAATAAAGTGCAAGAGAGCGGGAAACATTGCTTTTGGATTCCATAGGTTAATTAGTTTTCATAATTAGTTACAGGCTTCAGCTCGCACGCAAAAAATTAAAATAGCGAATACTTTCTTGGAGGATGTTTTATGTATGGTGGCAAAATGCTTGCACTTTCTAAAAGCGGTTATTTTTAGCATACCGTATTTCCTTGAATAATAGTCGGGCGTGATTTTTTCTTTTCGCACCAAAAGGGGTCCATTATTCGAGGGAGGCGTTTATTTTAAGTATTACTTTTGTTTTATTATCCCATTAAATTTAAAAAAAATAGTCACAAAAAAAACAGTGTATAAAGTGTTCCAAATTTTTAGTTCCTTGATTAATTTTTAAAGTCACTATGCAAGGAATAAAGGAAAAAGTGAAATACATGAACATTACCATAGAGGAAACTGTAACGAAATCTGTGCTTTTGTAACTATTCAATTTTTAACTTGACAGGGAGGGGATGAAAGAAATTTAAAGAGAAGATGGCGAGAGGGGTGGGAGAGGGGGGCGATTATTCCAGGGAGGCGATTTCTTTATTTTCATCAAAGGGAGGGCGATTAATCGAGGGACGGCTATAATTCGGGGAAATACGGTAGTGTTCATAATCAGAGAGAGAACACTGAAAAATATGGTGCAGTACTTACGGTGGATATCCGTGCATTTTAGCCGTTACCACCTCCCCCTCGGGTAGCAAACTGTATATGAACTTCATATGCTTGGGTTTTTTAACCTTCTGTTCTTCAGCTGAACATGTGTTATAGCGAGTATCACGATTAAACCAGCAGTACCATGAGCTGCTTTCCTTCAGTCCCTTAGCCTCCTCAGCTGATATAAGTCGCCATTTGTTACAGCGTTCGCTCTCACACTGCACCCAGATGCAAACAGGATCCTCTTCACTTTTTGTCTTCAGAGCCCGCGGTACCTTTGGCGAGCGGCTCGCCTTACATTGATTCAAAAGTTCACGCTTGCGTTTTGGCATTGCGCTTGGATTATAAACCACCGGTGAGCTGTTGAGGATATAACAGAATTCTGTAAGTATTAAAAAGTCGTTTCCAAATTTTTGTTGTAGAACGAAATGTCGTTATTGATTTGAATATGCACTTGTTCGGCTAAAAAATATCCCTTGACCTTCTCGACCCTAAGTGACGAACCATATCGTAGAGAGCAGAGAACATAGGATATCATTAGGATACAAAATGCATCGAAACCCGCGGTTTTTGAGATGATTCGACAAGTTTTCCTTGAAAATAACAAAAGACTTGTCAGGTCTTCGCATTTCCTATGCAAGTTTTCCTTGAAGCAAGATATGTTTCTTCGTGTCAAGCAATACTTGCTCCCGTAAAAGCGGCTGAATCAAAGCAATGCAGGTGTGCCCGCATGGCAGTGCGATCAGTTAAATGATAGCGTTAGTGTTTTTTAAAAAAATTTTGCACCTCAAAATGGCGTCCGCTATAATGTAAACCTTACAAAACAAATCAGCTGACATTTCCCCACAAACCTTTCACTTAAGACATATATAGTGCACTACATCAAGAAATACCGGACCCGTACACTTAAGTATGATTTGCAAAAAAATTCAGTCCACGTTTCTGAGAAGCTAGGCTATCGGGTTCCCAGTAAGATAAGGATGTCAACAACAGAAACACTCCTCGTGCTAAAAGGAAGGTAGTGAAAAGAAGACAAGCGAGAAATATTACAGGAAGTTCCAAATTTTCTTTAACAGGAACTTGCGGGTCTTCTTCCTGTTTGGTCAGCTGTGTAACGCCAATATCAGCGTAAAATGTATTTTTACACACGGAAACAAGATGAAGATCTATTCTTGTTGAGAATGTACAATATATTAAATAAGGGACCTTACAAAGCAACAACAGCAACGGAAACGGAAACGTCTTAAAAACAAAGGGTCGGTTATTTAGACCGCGGTTTAGGAAATGTTTGGGCCTCGAGATCTCTTCCTTAGTGGGATATTTTGAGGAGACAAATGCTTTTCCAGTCTATGCCATGTGATATCATGAAACTGTTCACGATAAATGGTGTTTCCATAAAAGCGTTGGACAAACTGAAAACGGCTTAGAACCAGCTGTACAGGGGCACCCAACGAGAATATAGTTCAAAACCACTTAAACATAGCATTATTAAACGTATTTTAGTATTTAAACGGTAGATATAGGCATATTTTTATCCCCTAAAATTTTTTCATCTGTTCGGATTTCCTAGCTGAAAGTCTAGTGATCCGAAAATTATAGGGATCAAAACTTACCTTTTCGAAAATTTCAGCCAGAAGAAAGGTTCCCGAAAATTCTAGGTGAACTTTTAAGGGTAAAAATCCGTTAAAAATGGGCAAATATAGTAGTTTTTAGATGTTCGAAAATCCTAGGAGAGGCACGCAAGCAAAAAATTTTGCAACAAATGTTCCGACAATTCTAGATCTCAAATCGTCTTCCGAACAGATATTTTTCCGAAAATTGTCGTTGGGTGCCCCTGGCTGTAGAACGCGGTTTTGTTAAACAGTGGCTAAACTCCGTTTAAACTGAACTGGCCCAAAAGGTTTAGTGAGTAAAACAACAACTCAGCACGTGCATCATCACGCTTTTCTGTAAATTACTTTGCCGTCGCTGCTGCGTACTACGAGGTCCAAATGACCACATTTTAGCAGGTTTATTTGAGAGCGAGAACAGCAAGTTCAGAGGAGATAAATGTTACGCTATCTGTCTGAACTCGGACGCACCGGATCCCCTCCTTTTATATTAGCTCCAACCTAATTTCTCGGCATCTTTTATAACTGGATCACTTGGCCCAAATAATCGAGAAAAAGTTTGAGAAAAAGCAAACGGAAGTTCTTCAATGACGTTTCACTGCCATCGCCGTTTTCGATCTCGGATTGTAAGCTTCCTATTGATACGGTGAACGGCTATCTATTGCCACGGATAGCTCAGGTGAAAATGAACTAAAACATCTAGCCATATTTTCCTGTAGTTCTTTCTACGCACTGTATATTACATATATTTTTTGGCAGCGCTTCCTGAGGAAGTTAGAAATAAACTCTGCCGCGTATGACAAATCGTGTGTTCCAGAGTTCCAGCTAGGCTGCTTGCCGTCCAACTTTTCTCTTAAGGTGTTTCCAAACGGTTTATCGGAGACCACACCGGTACTTTTCAATCTGCTTTAACGATCGCCATAAAATTTTCACCACTAAACCGACTTTGGATTGAAGTCACTTACTGGTGAAAATATTATGGCGAATGGCGATCGTAACAGGAAAAATCAATTTTAGGCGATTGAAAACTATCGGTATGGCCTCCGAAAAACTGTTTCGAAACACCTTAAATCCGTTGAATTCTCTTCCTAGCGAACGAGGTTGCAAAACAGCTACGTTATTAAAAGGGACTGAGACGATACGACAAAAATAACAACCGGGTCGCTTTCCATGTAGGCAAAATTTCTAATTCGACCGGTTTAAATGCAAGTGGAAAGGGCGGTACGACCGGAAATTTTCCGGAACAAACGGGCAATCTTCCGAGCTATTCCACTTTTCCCGTTCCAGCCGGTTGGAACACAAATTTCCGTTCTATTTGCGCAATCCTGTTTCGGCAGGCGGCTTGCGCCTGGAATTTTTCCCGCCATTTCCAATGTTTGCCGGTGAGCGTTGTTCACAGGTAGTCGCAGTTCTGCTTTTTATTTCTTTTCTTCTCATTTAGAAAAATGGCATATGCACGTCCGATGCTAGGACGCTGGGAGGACTTTCACGAAATTTTTCTTGTCTCAAGCTGGCAAAAACACTAAACAAAAGGAAGAATTTTGTAATGGCAGATCAACCAAAAAAGAAATTTCCAAAACTTTCCCAGCGAGTTTATCAAACACAGTCTCCAAGGAAGTGGTGACGGGCGAACAGTGCAAGCAATAGATTGCAAACGTGGCTCTATATATGGGTGCAAAGACTTTCCATTTGACCCGGAATATTTCTGGAATTTCCAACCGGAAATTTTGCCTAAATGGAAAGCGCCCCTGATAACGCCCTTGACTATAGTGACTCGCGGCTTGCTTCGACGTTTGCCACACGCGTGTACATGTATGCGAAGGTCTTAATGGGGTTAACCGTCAGCTGTCAAAAAAGGTCAGTTATTTTTCACCGTCAGCCATCAAAAATGCCGACTGGTATTAACTGTCAAAAAGTTTCAAGGCATTTCAAATCTTGCTTTTTTTTAGTATTTCAGCTGATCTTCATGGACCTCTGGCTCCTGAACAATCTCCAAACCGGAAAACCAGTTCCCACGTTCTCAAAACACTCCTTCAAGACATTACAACACCTTAGTACTTGCTTATATCTGAAAATATTTGGAAATTTTACAAGTAAAAGGCCAAGACAACCTCCAAACCACAACTGTTAATATAAATTTATACAGAAGTAAATATGTACAAAAACTCTTGGACTAAATTTCCACGAAATAACCGTCAACCGTCAAAGCCACCACCCCATTGAGACCCTCCGGCGTATCATGGTTACACGTGCCTCCCAAGAAAAGTTTTTAAAAAAGAGAGACAGCTCGCAGTCTAAGTTTCAGCACAGTTTTTGAGCAGTCGCGATCTGAAACATGGTTTATCTCCTTTCGCAAACTTCGCAGACAGTCGAAGTCATACTTTTGAGCACTTTGGATTACGTCAAGAACCACTCACTCCATGCATGGCCAAAGGGTCGACATATCATATAAGGACTGAGTTACAGCGCGTTCAGCTTTTCCACCCAAAAACCCCCAGCTAATCAGAGCAGGATTTCTAGCTATGGCGGATGAGATCAGCGAAGTGCACAGCGAGCAAGCTCTCGGAAGCAGGGATGGGTAGGAGGTTTAAAATTCCCCTACCCCTATCTCCGCTCTCCACACCTGCCCCCGAGAGACCGCTAGCGTGCTACGTCCTGAAGAACCTTGGCAGTGACGACCAAAGAGGCGCTGTCTAGAAGATCAACCGCCATAAATTATTATCCGGACGTCGGTGGACGACGCAAATTTTTGCGAGCGGAAAATAAAAGCAGAACCTAAAAGTAGACAACCTCGTTCACAGGGCTTTTCCCCTGGGAACAAGAAGGTCAAAAAGTCGACTAAAAGTAAGCCTGACCCAGTGTGACACTTATAAGTAGCCGACGGAAATTCCAGGGTGATACGCTCCTGATTACGTAGTAATACGGCAAAAATGTCTAAAATAAATACCTGCCTTTATAAAAAAAGACGTTCTGGCCCAACTGAGGTACACAAAAATTCTGCATGGCATATAGATGTATCACTGAGTCGAAAGGAACTCATTAAAATTATCATAAAATTATCTAATTTTCACGCTGACGGCAGACCAACGAGGCCACTGTAAACTTGCGATGCGGGAGAACAAAGTACAATAATTGCTCAGGTTCGCTTCTGGCTGGTGAAATCGTTCCTTTTCCTAATGATTACTCTCAAAAGGAGTCCAAAAACGTTGGCGGCAAGCAGCAGCGACACGTAAACATTGCTGAAGCGAAAATTTAGGCAGTTTTAAGATCTCGCTAGCTGCTCTAAAAGGAAACACGGCGGACGGAAGTCGAAAATGACCGGAGGCCAGGGAACTGATCGCCGGAAACGTCATTTCACATTCGGTTGTACAAAACCTAAATTCTTCAAGCCAAAAAGAAGTTAAAATTGCCTGTGTGATTATGAGAAAAAAGCCGGAAAGGCACTTAAGAATTAGAGAAAGCGAAAGCTCTGATTTGACTCAAGCGATTGGCAAAAAACCAGTAATACATTGTAATAATAATAACCTTCAGCAGGTGCAGCGGTGTCTAGAGTATAGGTCACAATCGATGAATGTATGATACCAGCCATGCTGATGGTTTGTGGTTGATAATTTTTCTGCACAAATCTTACTGATGGTATAATAAAGATCACTTGTCGTTGTTGTTGCTGCTTTTGCCTGGTTCCCATACATTGAGTTACTATCACTCAGGAAGCTTATGCCACGGCCACCAGCAAAGAAGCCAAAGAAGACGGGGGTTTTTAATATCAAGTATTTGAAAATCATACTGATTTAAAAGGGATTTGCACGCTCACGATTTCCTCCTCCTCGCTTTCACAACAACCGGAGAGTAAAGAACTTGAAAATTGAAGTTTCGGAAGGCTTACCTTAAACCAAACGAATCATTTTCCTGAGGGGAATTATAGACTGACTGAACCGTCAACCCACGCAAAGTATTGAGGGTCTTTTATCATTGTTAAAAATATATTGGACTAAAAAGCGATGGCTAGAATCACGCTACGGAAGATGTAAGTGAAATTCATAGAAAGGAAGACAATAATTTTTTCTCTCAGCAAGAAAGTAGAGACGATGTTGAATTCCGTGTAGTTCGGACAAAAGAAAGATATCGCTGATCGGAAACAGCGTGATCCAAAGATGTCGGATATGACGTTGAGCTGTGTAATTTCGGTTGACATAGCACAGCACTGGACTGTGCTACGAGAAAGGCGGGAATCCAGGGGCCTTTTTCTCAAAAGGCCCGGAAACTTTGCGGGCCCGAAGGCAAATTTTAAAATCAAAATCTTTTGAATATCAACACGGTTTCTAGCTCACAAACCAGTCAATTTTATTTCTTTAAATGATAGTTTCATTGTATCAAAACTTTAAAAACGTTGATCCTCAGTGCAAACAAGGCAAAAATAAAACAGCTTTGCGCTGCCAAAAGTTACCGGGACTTTCGAGAAACAGGCCCCGGGGTGGGGGGTTTTAAGGGGCGGGGTTGGAGAAACAGGAAGAAGGTGGGAGCAATTCAATAATTTCGAAGAAATCATTCTAAATTTACATACCAGTCTGCTAAGAGCAATTTTGTGCACGAGAGCCAGGGAAAATTAAAAACAGTTTGGTAAATTTTGGGCAGATAGAGCAAGACTAAGGAACGACATGTTGTCGACTTAAACTTCCTTCCGTCACTAAGAGCAGCGACTGGGAAACAAAAGTCCTTAAATATCCATGACACTAAGATTGCACTGCTAAACTTAAATACCCCTTGACGTGTCTACGTCGGCGGAAGGTCACGCCACCAGAACGTATATTCACCTGCAATATACATATTTTCGCCTGTGACATCAGCTCTTAGATCGCTAATTTTTCCCTCAAATTTATGCTCTACATGTTCTTCCTTTACTTTTAATGTCAAAACCACGCAGCACTGAGAAAGTTACTGGCTGATTTTGCGATAAAAATCTACACCCAAGGTACAGACGACGTCACGTTCAGTGAACCGAAACTTGTAACTCAGTTGCTAGCAGATTACGTATTTCCTGTTGTGTATATTGCTACACAAGTGTGAAAAGATTTTTTCTCGTCGACGTTTCAGTTTTAATTAAGTTTAAAAACAAAAATGCTTTTTTAATACAGTTAAGAAATTTAAATGGCTTTCACAGATTTTACATGATTTCAAGAAGTTTACAACTTCTCGGTAAAAAGCGTCGTTGCAATGAGCTTATGTTTGAACACGTGAGCTATGAATCTACATGAAAGTTTTGATATAATTACTGCTTTTGACACCGATTAAATCCTTTGAACACTGAATCTCAAATTTTCACTAAATAAACGCTAAGTAAATCAGGGCTTTAGCCACGTCTGAGTCATTTTCGGGCGCAAAATGCTGATAACATTATTCAGTTTCGTTGTCTTTGAGCACATCTATTTTTATAGAACTAGGGTGACATGGCCGGCGAAAGACTTCTATAAGCGGAAGTTGCTGTGCATTTCGCCACGTTTTTCATCGTGTGATTAATTCCCGGGTTGCAGCTGCAGCACATTGATTGTATGACTTAACTTTGAAGTAATATATTCGATTAACCAAGCATTGTTTCTACGATCAATGCGTTTTATTTCTCTCACCGGAAACAACTGGTTCCTTTAGCGACAATGAATTTCTCGATTTACGTGAGAAAAAATTAAGCACATTTCAGCCTCGAACGTGTTCAAAGTAAACTCAAATGAAGCCAACGAAAAGACCTGAAACGCCAAAGGTTTCGTAAATATCTTTTAAGTGCATTTTGGTTCACTTTTGTCTCAACACGCGGTCCGTTGTTGTGACAGACGGGAAAACGAAGCAGATAGTTCATCGAGTTTGTTTGCGGTTTTCTCAAATAATTCTGCAAAAAATAATTACATGAGTGTACTTACCTTACATTGTTGCAAAGATTCTGGATTTCTCAAGTTGTTTAAGGTGCGAAATCTTTTGATGTGTGATCCATTCAAATGCTCAAAGACAATGACAATCAACACGTTTCTTTCCTCTTGATTTTCCCGCTTACTAGGGTAGGCCGCTGATGTGCGAAGGCTCAATAAGTCACTACGCATGCTATTTTTGAGTAGCTTTTTTGAGTCAAAACGCCAGGTGAAGAAGCTGGAAGCACTAATCAAAGAGATTTCGCGAAGTCTTCAGGCCTTTTGCGACTCAAAAGGTCCTCAAAAGTCAGAAGATTTGTAGAGAATCTTAACTACAAAAATATAGATGTAGATGTCTATTTTTAGTGCGATATTTTTATAGTTTTCGTAAATAACATGTTGTTTGGTCACGCTTTAAACAATGGAGTAGGGATTCCAAACATTGGACGTAAGTGTTTCCATGTCAATTTTTATGACTTTTTATGTAATAATTATTTGAACATAAAATATAAGCCTAAGACTTACCTTTATTTTGGCACTGCACATAAGTCAGATCTAGAATTCAAACAGACCTTTGAAAAACTCATCACCGCCATGCATCAATAACCCAAATGGACTAATCTGGCCAGCTCAAGCCTGTTCTGACAATGGTAATTTCTTGTACTGTTTTTATGGGTGCTTTAAATTACTAGTAATGAGAGATTTTCTTCAGTTGGAACGTTTCAGATGAAATCAGTGGCTGAAGATGATGTAATTTACAGAACAATCAATAGCGCATTGCAGTGTGGCTGCAGACTTATAGGTAAGAGAAGTCAAGTTCACTGCAGACTGTTTGCAAAACTTAAAAGTGTCTTATAAGGTAGTCAATGCATACGGTATTACCCTGTGGGAAGGCGGGTAGGTACTGCCATATACAGCTATTTCGAGAAAGGTTGTCGGAAAAAATGTGCATGTGACAATCCCGAAAGGTAATCAGGTGCGGATCCACACCGGTTTCCACCGTTTTACGGAAATCGGTCACATTTTTCATATTAAATATATTTATCAAAATAAAAACACTTTGTAAGTTGAAATCTGGCCAATATCCCATCTGAATGACTTGGAAATCCAGGAAAGGGGACTTTAAGGAGTAAAAATCCAAATAATTTCTTGGGGGAGCCACCCCCCAGACCCCGCTAAAAGCTGGTGCCTTCCGCGCTCATTTAGGAAATCTGTCAGTATTTATCCTAGATCCGCGCCTGGTAATATGGGATATGTCCAATACACTGTTCCTGACACTGTAGCTGTTGAACCTACTTTTGTTGCTTTCCTTTAGCACTTGCAGACATATGTCCATGACCTCTCCTGCCATTCTTTGAAATTTCTTTGAAAAACAGTGCACTCAAAACCACCCACAATACCTTTTGGGGCTGTTGTGTGCACTTTATCCGACAACCTTTCTCGAAATAGCTGTATAGGCTATATACATACCTGCCAACCCCCGGAGTACAAAATCTGGAGATGTCTAGAAATCTTCAACAATGTCTGAATACTCTCCGAAAATCACCCGAAGGCCTTTCTTATGTTCCCAACATCAATAACAGCGAGTGAAAAACCACGTCAACTTTCTACCAAGTATTGTGCAATTTGATTGGTTGATTTCTGACCAATTACAATACTCGTTAAATATACATCAATTTGATTGCTCTGTTTTACATTTTCTAATCAAGAACAGCTCAAATAAGAGAACTAAATTCACTTCTTGTTTCATTTTCCTTTTTGACATCTCAAAAAAAACAAAATTAATGAAAAAATTCTGAAAAAGGTCACGGTAGGTATTTCCCCGGGAGATTTGGTGCTCTAACTGGGAGACCGGGAGATCTGATGAAAAACTTGGAGACTCCTGGGAAAACCGGGAGAGTTGACAGGTGTGTATATAGGTATATGCTGCTGTAAAGGGTATGGTTTAGATTTAGGTTTACTTGCAACTCATTAAGCTTTTGTTTTGGCTCGACTGTGCTGCTAACCTCAGTACTTTTTGAAAAATAGCAACTCTAGGATAGGCCATAGGAAGGTATTTTGGGAGTTTAGTCTAGTAAAGGGCAGCAAAGTTCAGGTGGGCTAGGTCCAGTATAGGCCAGGGGTTTCACGGTCTCAGCAGCTCATCCCTATCCAAGAATTCTTAAGGCACCTCTGGCAGGGACATTTTACATTAGTGACATGATTCTTGAGTACTCATTAATCAGGGGCTATGGTCTGTGACAGCATTGACAAAGGTTTCAAATTATGGCATAATGATGACACAATGTGTTTTTTCTGGTACTCGCCCACATTTTCCAAGAAATTTCACCAGAAATGGACATATAGACAACAATTTCCATTGTCTAGACTCCTAATGGCAATAGAAATGTGTTGTTTCAGTAAATATCCATACTGCTTACACAGTGGTTTTTTTTTTATCCTGCAGCTTCTTTGAAATTCCAGTCTAGCTTCATACTTTCCATTAAAAAGTTTGGTCCTCAAGACCCCACGTTTGTCTTAAGCACTTATAGGCACTGAGATGTTTTATGTACAAAGGGAAACAGTGTAACAGAACTTGTCATACAGTCGACTCCCGGTAACTTGAACCCTCCATAACTCGAACCTCCCATTAACTCGAAGTGATTTTCATTTCCCTTCAGATCATTTTCCACATAATTTTACCCTCGATAACTCAAACTCCCGATAACTCGAACTTTTTTCTATTTCCCTTGAGGGTTCGAGTTATCGGGAGTCGCCTGTATTTCCTGAAGCCTTTTCAACAACAACAAAAGAAGAAGTGACAATAACAAAATATTAATTTCTCGTTATCATATTGTAGTCTCATGCACAATGAGTTAAGGCTTTGAGTCTTGATTATTTTTTGCTTGCTGTAAACAGACACAGCTGCTGTTTATCGGAATGAAGCAGATATTGGACGTGCACTAAAAGAGCTTCTACCAAAGTATGGACTTTCCAGACAAGATGTCTTCATAACAAGCAAACTGTGTGAGTCTTTGGAATTTCTCTAATGTGTTATTAATATGACAAGTTTTGGCCTGTATCTTAAGTTATTGCCTTTATTAGCCAAACAAAATGGCTTTCTAAAGTCAAACGTTTCGTTATTTTGCACTGACATGTCTCTATTGTAGACATTTTTGTTGGTCCCAAAGCTCCTAGAGGTCATGCATACATGTACCTCTATTCACAGTCACCTTTTGACACTTTCTCTTCCAAAAGTGGCCAAAGTTAAAACTTGACAAAGTTTCCAGATTTCTTTTCAAAAAGATTCCAAAAAATATTAATTTGAGGAGAGGTGGCCTTTAAATGGTCACACAATAGGATTTCATCCACTGACTCAAAAGTTAGAATGCAAACAATTGTTGATTATGAGTGACAAAAAGTGTTAGCACTGGTTTGGATTTTGTGATTTCAAGACTCACCATAAGTTATGACAACAGAGTAGGTTAATTTAATGACAATACAACTTTATTGACTTTATCTTTAACATGTAAGATTTCAGTACCAAGAGAATCAATATATTAATTACAAATGAAACAAAGTAAAATAAAAGTTAAGTAAGAAAGAAAGTAACAACAACTATCTATTGAATATTAACATAAAAAGAAAAATTACTTGGCTATGTACGGCTTCTATGCTAATAAAAATGTGTAACTTTTATTTGCATCTGTGGATATATTTTTTCTTATCTTTGTGTAAGAAATACCCTGCGAGCAGATCAGGCCCTTTGATCTTCATAGAGCCCCGAGGCTTTTAGTTACTCAATATTATTAATGAAAGTCTTTTTTAATACCCGCTTCAAATGACTTTCAATGAGTATCCCAACCCTGAGTACATTAAGAACTTTAGCAATCCAATGACACAATGGCAACGAGAATGTCAAAAAAACAATAGGTTTGATAAGCAAAACAACAACTTTGCATATGCATCACACGTTTTTGTACATTTCTTTGCTGCTTTGTCACTACTGTGGCAAAGCCCAATTTTGCATTTTATGGAGAACGTAAACTAGCAACAATGCAATTTATTTCTCTTTCTGAACTTGGATATGGCCCCTTGGAATTTTACTTCTTATAAGAGGGTTTGCCTATATATCTGACAAAGGAAGTGGTTAGGAATAATCAAAATAAAGACTGAAAGAATGAAAATTTACTTTTTAACCAATGTTCTCATTGCTATTGCATCGTTGGATGTTTTAAAAAGTCCCCATTACCCTTGAATAAATTCCGCATTGATCTGTGTCTAAAAGCTTTAGAAACAGGCTGTTATGACTTCATTGGCAATCTTCAAATTATATTTGCTTGAACTCTTAAAAAATATTTCACATATATTATGGTATTTTTTTGTTGTTCTTCTCCTCAGCCCCTAGAGACCATGGATTTGATAGTGCAGAGGCAGCTTGTATGAAGTCTCTAGAAGCTTTAGACTGTGAATATCTTGACTTGTATCTCATTCACTGGCCTGGTGTACAAAAGCTGAAAAGGGAAGATCCAAACAATTCTGAACTTAGAAAGGGAAGCTGGCTAGCACTAGAGAAGCTTTATAAAGCAGGTTATTTATTTTAATAGACCCTTCCACATTTTTTTTCAATTTTTGATCTGGACCAGTTAGCGAAAAATCCATCAAGACAGGTGAGAAGCTCACTTTAAAATTAGTAAAGATGCCAAGTTTGAACATGATATGTTGAAAATTAGTAACAAAGATATAGCTCCACAAAGTCGCCAAATTCTACAGACATTTGCCTATAGTTTGCCTATAAGTTAATGTACCCTCTATACAAACTATTTTACATCATTCTGTACAATTTTTGCCACTTTGTGAATTAGCTATTCAACGTATCACACTTGAACTTGGTGAGTTACTCTTTCTGGCAGTGTCAATGGATATTTGCTAACTGGTCTTATTAAAAACTGAATCATTGGATAATGCAATTCTAGAGCTCTGATTGGCTTAGCCATCATGGTGTATGAGCCATTATACCATGATCTCTAAATATGGTGTGAAGTGTACTCGTCTGCTCAAAATTTAAAATAAGCTGAAAATCGGTTGTTTTTCCAAATAAAGTCAGGAAGAATTCTTGATATTTTGTGGGCATTTTTAATAAAACAATATTATTCTGCTCACACTTGTTGGATATGAGATGATTACTGGCTATCTACTATCTCATATCCAACACGCACTCGTGGTAGACGGATCTATTCTCAACTCAGAAAACGCGCATGGATTTCAGACACCCTAAAAATAATCCCCCATCCCCCAGCCCCTCTAAAAAAAGTTGGTCTATAAAGTAAAAAGTAAGTCTATGTGATGATCTCATTCTGCATGGGTCTCCTTCAGGTTTACTTAGAAGTATCGGTGTATCAAACTACACAGTTGCCCACTTGGAAGAGATGTTACAGTATGCTACTGTTGTTCCTGCTGTACTGCAGGTGACGTTAGTTATAATGTTTCTTCTCTTTTATGCAGTAGTGTCTGTTTGCTTCTTTGTATAATCTGGTGGTATAGGACTTCAGAAGCCCAAGAACAGCTATTATTCAAAGAGCAACATTCATTCAGGAAGGGGCAATTTCTTACATGTTTTATAAAGTCACTGAAACTGAAACTATTAATGCATTACAAAATATAATTGTTGGCAATTTTTAAAGGCAACATTCAGAGAATCTCTGGGTACATATCGTGGTATGTGTACTTTCTTTACAGGTTTGTGTTTTTTGTTTTAATTTCAGTTTATTAAAGAATTAAGCATGATATTGTCTGCATTAACTTAAAAGAAAAATGCAATGCCCAGTACACTTTTTCTCCTCAAGTTCAAATTCATAGCTTGTTCTTTGTCTGCATTCACTCACAGTTTATTGATTTGACTATCATAGATAACTTCTGTACTGGTATCCCTATGTAGCCATCTATTATTTTCTATTATTTAACAACTCAAGTGTTTTAAACTGTAGGTAGAGTTTCACCCAAGACTTTTCCAGAAAGGGTTGCTTGAGTACTGCCAAAGGAAAGGAATATGGCTACAAGCCTATACTTCATTAGGCCAAGGAAAGGTATGTTACAACCAAGATGAAGTCTTCGATTCAGTGGGTTTCTAGTGTGGGACTAATACATGTAGTTGAGAGATTCATTGCATTTAATAACTGAAATCATGACCTTATGGTTTTTGGAAGTGTATGGATACTCACCAAATGAGCTAGTGCAAGACTTGAAAAAGTCTTAAATTACAGCATGTTTATAGGACAAGCAGCTCTCAAATTTGCTTGCCTAGGACCATTGCATCCTTGTCTAAGTTTTTGATGTAGTTAGAAGATGACTTGACTAGACCTTGGCCCTTCAGTCAAGTAAGCATGAAAATTGCTTACTTGGCTGAAAGGAAAATCGGCTTGAGGTGGATTAACGGAGGACACTGTTTTCAAGCCTTTTTTTTTTCAATAGACACTGAGCTACAATACTCGTCAAAAATCTTGAAACACTTGTATGCATTTCTCCTTCCCCAATGTTGATTTGGGTATTATAGTCGTCTCAGTGCTCCAAAATACGCATGACTCAACACTGGGGAAGAAGTGGGGCACATTTGAGTGAGAACAAAGGCGTGGAGAGTGAATGTAAGAACGTTTCGAGAAAATTCAGGAATACCCAACGTCAATTTTCGGAAAATTATCTGTTCGAAAGACGATTTGAGATCTAGAATTTTCAGAACATTTGTTGTAAAATTTCTTGTTTGCCTGCCTCTCCTAGGATTTTCGAACGTCTCAAAAATGGTATAATTGCCCATTTTTAACGGATTTTTACCCTAAAAAGGTCACCTAGAACTTTCGGGAGCCTTTTTTCTGGCTGAAATTTTCCAAAAAGTAAGTTTTGATCCCTATGATTTTCGGATCACTAGACTTTCAGCTAGGAAACCCGAACAGATGAAAAACTTTTGTTGGATAGAAATATGCCTATATCTACCGTTTAAATACTAAAATACGTTTAACAATGTTATGTTTAAGTGGTTTTGAACTATATTCTCGTTGGGTGCCCCTGAACATGCAAGAGAAACGGTTCCTGTTTCAACGATTTGTGATGAGTAGGCCTTTACCGGGTTAGGCCTTTACCTAGATGGTTCATGTCATCACCATGTCCAAAATAGTGCTAGGACCATTATGGGTCCCTTGTTGGTGTCTTTAGATGACTTGACCTATGAACAACAATCTCATCTTAAATTCCTCTTTTTTTTTGGGGGAGGGAAGCAGGGAGTAACGGCCACTCGCCCAGTGGGCAAGGGTATACGCAAGTCATTCTCTAACAAAATCATTAACTAAGATAAGCAAGAACTTGGGGTTGCTTGAGGGTTTTTTGTTGTTATTTGTTTTTTAGAGGAAAATTTGAGGAAGACTGTGCAAAACAACTTTAATGCAGACAAAAAAGCAAGATTGCACAATGAACCAAAGTACTGCTGACAATCTCTTTAGCTCTTAGATGAGGCACAAGTCAGAAGTATAGCTACAACATACAACAAGTCAACAGCTCAAGTGTTACTCAAGTGGGCTCTTCAACATAATGTAGGTAGGTATGATAATTATAGTTATTAGTGAGTGTGTAATCAGCATGCAGCTCTCCTCTGAACTCCTTCCACCAGTTTGATGTACTTAAAACTGATAATGAATTCGAAGGAACATCATGTAAATAAGCTAGTTATGAAGTTTTTTTCCTCCTGTATGAAAATACGTGATTCATTGTTAGTAATGTAACTGAATTTTTCTAGATTATTATTAGTGCTGTTTGTTTTATATTTTGATTGTCATATGCATGCTTTTGCACTACCGTAAAATGATGCAGTCATGCAAATAAAGCAATTTATTACTATTACTAATAGAGAGTTTTAGATCCGAGTTTACCGCGAACCTCTAACGACTCTAACCGCTGGAGGTCACGTGATAAGTCTTTCGCGTCACGTTTGAGGTTTACGACGCGCGTTTTCAACGTGGGGAGGTAGGTTTTCACGTATGTCATTTGCCTGAAAGCTTTTAGCGTACAATTCTTGTTTTATCCCACGTAATGATACAAAAATCTTGTGGAGCAAGTCTTTATCCATTAACAGAGGCGCAAATTCGGACGAAATGGCTAAATTTGATAAATCCTATTGGATCTTGAAAACAAGTGCCATTCATGGCTGCTGATTCAAAATGGCAGCCGTAAATTTGTAAGAAGAACTACTGTAAGAATTTACAACTTTTTGCTGCTAGATAACCCAGTGTTACGGTAAATTTTTTTTATTTTCACTAATTGATATTTCTTCTATTTCTAAATGGAAAAATAGACCTAGAGTGGCTTCTTTAATCCACCACCAATCTAAATCGAATAATGTTTGACCGTCGAACCGCAAACGGGTAGCCGCAAACCGCGGTTAGAGTTTCGCGGTAAACTCGGATCTAAAACTCTCTAATAAGATGTGGGTGCTAGGCTGATTGGCGTGTTCCTTATATGGTCTCACAAGGGCCATTTAGATTGCTTCTTTCACTCTCTCATCAGGCCAATAGACCTTTTTACTGATACGGCGGCCATATTGAATTAATTCGATTTAAGGAGTATTATAGGATGCCCAGGGGGCATGAGCACATTTCGTTTGTATTTTTGGGCATCCTATAATACTCCTTAAATCGAATTAATTCAATATGGCTGCCGTATCGGTAAAAAGGTCTATTGTTCAGGTTTTGCAACAGAAATCCATGTTTTGGTTGTTTTCCTTCATAAGTTGGTTATGTGTGAGCCTCAGTAGAGGTTAGTGAACAGCTCCACGCCCTGATAAGGGTGGTGGACCAATGAATCTAGTACCTTTTCCACTAGATCCTATTGTGACAGAATGAATACGATTACTTTCTGTTGTTCTCAGAAAGTAATACTTACTGAGGGATTAAATTTTCGAGTGCACTTCTGGGTTTAGAGTTCTTTATTATAGTTATATATACTTAGGTACTGTCTTTTTCAACAGGGGTGATTCCAAAGTCTGTCCGACCCCAGCACATAAAGGACAACTTGAGTGTTAACGACTTTCAACTCTCTGCAAAAGACATGGCCATCTTAAATCACATGAACACAAACACTCGGTTTTGCTGGGATCCAACGGCAGTCGCGTGACATTGTCTACACGGAAAATTTTGGCAAATTTGTTAACGTTGATCAAACAAGAAAAGAAATTTGCACGCAAGTAATGTCCTCTTCCCTTGATGCTCGTTCCCCGTGCTGTGCGTTAACCAAGTTATTGGCTGCGTTGCCTGTGCACGCAGGAGTGCCACAACAAGTGAAGCCTGAGATTTAATGCAATGAACTCTGATTTAGGACGATGTTTGTTGTTCCTTTTTGATAAAATGGCACGCGCTAAATTAGTCGGATGAACAAGGGACGTGGTTCACTTCCTCTGATCATTTCCATCTGTTCCTCAATAGTCCGCAATACAAACGGCGCTTTCTGGGCGGACCGGGCTCAACGTAGTCCACAGAAAAAATATTTCTACTGCCATAGTTGGCAAATCCCCTCCTCACACCGAAATGGTCAATTCCACGCCCGCATTTGAACTCTGTTGTGCACAAACATCCACGTCATGCATTCTCTCAACGACAAACCGCTGAAATTACCAGACAAGCTAATAAATAATAAAAAATATATTTATATAGCGCCTATACTTTTCAGTGCTAAGTGAGGGTTCTGAATGGGTAAAATAATAAAAAAAATAAAAGACTGACATGATCTTATGTGTATACTGAGGTCTACTGGTACAGAATATTATTTCTTTTATATCAAAAAGTAAGCACATTTGAGCAATTTTGTCAAATAATATAGTCGAAGATCATGAAAGGAGAGAAATCCCATTCCCATTTTAGAAATTGTTAACCCCTTTTCCTAGTGGTTAAATCCCAGCCCCAGTGTAGTAAATCCCATTTTCCCAGAACATAAAAGGGCAAATCTTAGTTCCCATTTTACCCCTTCAGAACCCTCTTCTTTGTTTTCACTGAATGGCATGGTTACTCCTCATCTCGTCATGTTATCTCAACGACGTTTCCTAGACAACTCTCTGAGATCACACAGACTTTCTTTGAGGCCGGACTGACTCACGACACAGCTTTAGTCAGCTGTTTAGTGTTGGAAGAACTACAGAGTTAGAATATTTTTGGTTGTAGGTAAACCAATCGCAGTAATAAAATATTATTATTTAGGAGAGAAGACAAGATGAGGTTGGTTATTGTAGTGAATTTGTCTGCATTTAATACACATCACTGATAGTCAGATTTGTATTCTCATGGTTCAAATAAGAAGCTGTGAGGCCTTATGCAATAGGCTTGATTAACGCCGCTCTCTCGTGTCTGATCTTGCTTCTTTCCGAGAAGAGGGAGAGGGAGGGAGGAGAGGAAGGGTGCTTATTTCTTGAACAGTGGCTGTCAAACCAGCCTAGCTTCATATTTATACAGTTATCAATGCGAACAAGTCACCTGACAGGCATCTCTTTCCCATGCAGGTAACCAGATAGTCATAATTTCGACCCCTGCTGGAAAAACTCGGGTCTGTCTGTGCTTCTCCCAGATGGTATCTATTTGCTTTCTGAAGCTCTTGCAAAAATCAAGATATTCGAACCTAACCTAACCAACAATACCGCGACAATCTCGTTGCCACTGTCCTCTCTCTCGTAGGAATTATGCGACGGCAATATGATAGTGACGTCACTTACCAAGTGTGTTTGCCGTTGTATTGTTGGAGGTGAAATTCGTTCTCCGATGAAACATTGTCCAGGCTGTCTTCAAAATTTGCTTCAACCAATCAGAAGTACTGCCCAGATCTGGATAGTTACGAAAAACAAAAATCCATCCCCGGTGGGAGTCGAAGTAGCTCTCAGTACGGGGTGTACTTGGGGTGTACACGTGCAAGTTGATAGAGTGAAATACCTTGTACCAAATTCAGGGTTCGTACAGAGTCATAAGTGAAGGTACCTTCTCGTTATTGGTATTAATTTAGTAACGAAGCGTTAAGTCAAGTGCTAATAGTTTTGCCAGTTATGTTTTTTTTTGTAAGGTGAGATAACCATGGCTTATGCTAATCATCAAGCACTCAAGTGCTTAAAAGCTGCAAAAAGAGGTCGTGAAATTCCAAAAAAAAAGTTAAAATACGATAAAATCACCCTGAACTCCATGAAAAGCACAGGCCGTACACGCCCGTCTTTACGAGGCTTGTGTGTCAATATTTAAGATGCGTCCTGCCAGCTGCTTGAGCTTGTTACCAGTCGACGGATCCGGAGAAGATTATTAACAATTTGGCTCACAGGAACAGAACCTTTTTTTGGCTTTAAAAATATTTGCGATTAGTGCGCTAACTTAACTACTTAGCGTGTCAAAAAGCATGCTACAAGAAATAAAGGTTTCAGCGCAGCATAGTTAATTGAGTGGAATGGTTTGAAACCCGTCAGACTCCTTTGTTATATGTTTTTGTGGACCTGAAAGTGCACAACGTTCAAAAAGAATTCCTATCATTTTGATTGTATTGACCAATAAAAACGTTGCATTAATATATTTCGTAACAATTTGCCAACAGAAAACAAAGGATTGTGCACTTTCACGGTGCTTTGAACATAAACTGCAGCACTGTTGTTTTTATCATTGATGTTTGCCGCTTTTCATAACCAGTCTCCTCTAATAACTATGAGCGCAGCGAACACTAGTTTGCGAACACGTTTTTCTCTGTTCGAACAATTTTAATATGTAAAACTATGCATTTAGTTAGACACGCTGATCTTCTTGTGACTGTGCTATTACAAGAAAAAAACTTTTAAAATATCTTGCAACTGGTAAACAAAAAAAAGTAAACAGGTCTCTGTATCTTTTGCATCCTGTATTATGTGGATGTATATTTATCACGTCCGCTTAAGTCTGATTTTTTTAGGGACGACAACGAGAACGTCGCTTAAAAAGTGAATTGCGTTCTTTCAGTCTTTAAAGCGATCATTCCTACCCACATACTTTGTCAAATATAGGCGAACCCTCCTGAAGCTAAATTTCAAATGACCATATCCAAGCTCAGAAAGAGGAATAAAATTTCGTCGTTGCTTGTTTACGTCCTCCATTAACGCGAAATAAGGCATTTTCACGTCCTAGTCGTGCAAAAACGGGAAAGAAATGTACAAAAAAGTGGGAAGTTGTTGTTTTGCTTATTAAACCTTTTTTTTTTACCTTCTCGTTGCCGTCCGCGTCGTTGGATCTTAAAGTCTCTAATGTCCTTTGAAACGCCAAGATTTCCCCCGTGACATCATGGGAAAACTGCTCTATAGACCTTTTTAGCTTGTCTGTTTTATCCCATTTCAGAGTACGTGATGCCCATGCTCTTAAGGGAATTTGCCTTTTGTCTTTTCTTCAATATCCTTCCCACAGTCCGCGTTACGGATTTCGTGCCGCCAGAGCTCCCGTGAGCGAGTGTTCAACCTATCCAGGGTAAATACCCTGGCAAAAAGCTAACCCTAATAAAGCTTCAAGGGGGGCTTTTTCTTCCCTCGTTCCCACCTGGTTAAAAGGTGTGTTCACACAGTTGAGGTCAGTAATCACCTTACTTTAGCATCGTTGCACATCATAATATGCTCTTTAAGTGTGGTGTTTCCACTTGTTCCCAGCTTAACCTCAGAAAACAGCCGACGTTTGGTGACGCCACCACTGGTTTCCCCGCGTAATGACGTCTGAGAAACGAGCGCGGAAATTCCACACTGATGACGTGTCACTACCCAGATCTGGGTAGTACTTCTGATTGGTTAAAAATTTGCCTCAACTAATCAGAGGTTCTACCCAGATCAGGATAGTGACGAAAATAAAAATCCATCCGCGATGGGACCCGAAGTATCTCTTACTACGGGGGTGTACAAGCTTGTACATGTGCAACTAACTTCATGGATTGAAATACCTTGACAAAACGCAGGGTTTGTAAAACGTCTTGAAATTTGTTCAGCAATTTTCCAGAACCTAAAAAAAGTCTGGAAAATGGAGATAAAGTCAGAAAAAATAGTAGAAATTCTTGAATTTTTCTCTTTTTTTTTTGCAAAGCTACAGTAACTAGTGCTTTATAGGTGAATTTTTTTCGTTTTGGTGAAATGGGGTTGACAGACCTGCGCGGCTCCTGCTGTGTGACCGTTGTGTTGTTATAAGCCTTTACAGTTTTGCTTTAACAAGCATGTCTTTAAGCGACTTTCCTTTTCTATAAGAGATCAAGGAGGTTCCTTGAATATCTCTCTGAGTAGTGGCTGGTTTTCTATTAAATGCCATTTTTCCATTAGTATGTTTTTCAAACCTGGTAATGACGGTTGAAATTGCGTGACAAAGGGTAAAAAGTATTTTTGCGCTTTCTGTTTTTTGTGTCAGAGCTGTCGCTCTATCTGCATATTTAACTTCTGAGAGGATCTTTTCTACCATACTCTCTGGGTAGCCTCTCGAGATAAGGCGTGTTTTAAAGTTTTTAATATTCTTGTCAAATATGACTTTAGAAGAGTTAGTTCTTAGAAGTCTAAGAGCCTCTCCTTTGACAAAACCTTTTTTAACGCCTGGTGGGTGGCAGCTGTTAAAGTTAGTGTACTGAAACGTTTCAGTAGATTTAAAATGTGTGCGCGCGTCGAGAATTCTTTCTTTCTCAAATCTCTCTCCCTTATAGACTGTCGTGTCCAAGAATGTGGTTTCAATTTGTGATATTTCAGCAGTGAACTTGATTGTAGGATGAAAAGAATTGGCTTGCTCAATGAAAAGATCTATATCTTCTTTGTTTGTGTCCCACAAAGAGAATATGTCGTCAATAAACCTTTTCCACGTTAGTGGTTTCCTTCTGCTTTGTTTTAAGATCTCCTTTTCTATTGTTGCCATAAAAATGTTGGCAAAAGCTACTGCCATTTTCGTGCCCATAGCAGTTCCGTGAGTCTGGAGATAGTCTTTCCCATTGAAATGGAAAGAGTTCTCTTTAAGGATAAGACTGAGCATTTCTTTAAGCAGGTGTGTAGCTATAGGAGGGTTTTTGTCATGAAATTTTTCGTATGCGTTGCATACTATAGTAATTCCTTCCTCCTGTGGGATATTCGTGTAAAGGCTGGTGACATCCATTGAGACTAAGAAAGCGTTACTAGGCACCCTAGTGTTTTCGATAAATCTTATAAAATGTGTCGTATCTTTAAGATACGAGTCTTGTATTTGTGCTATTGGCTGAAGTAGCTTGTCTACAAATGATGAGAGGCGTTCTGTGGGGCCATCGCACCCCGAAATGATAGGTCTTCCAACTAAAGTCGGTTTGTGTATTTTTGTGAGAGTGTAGAATACTGGAATTCGTGGCGGATCTGGTGCCTGGTTAAACCATTTTACTGTCATTTCGTCAATGAAACCTTCGTTATGTAGAGTGTTAATGAGGTGTTTAACTCTCTGGGATGTGTCCTTAACCATTGGTTTTTCCAAAGGTTTATAGTTGTTTCTATCATCCAACTGTTTTTGTCCCTCATTTATTTTGTTCTCTCTTTTCATTATGACGGTTGTTGTGCCTTTATCTGCTTTCTTAAGGATTATCTCTTTGTTTTGAATAAGTTCACGGAGCGCTCGGCGCTCCCCAGGCGGCAGATTGTTTTTAGGTTTATTTAGTGGCACTTCTGTTAGCCGTAGTTTGACTTCCTCTAAATAGGATTCTAGAGCAACTGACCGTTGAACTGGGGGAATCCAACTAGACTTCACATGGAAGGGATGTGGTACAGTATCTTTGCCATGATAAATGTATTTGAGGCGCATCCTTCTGGCAAATTGGTTAAAGTCTGAAATTAGTTGGCTCCTTATCTGGTTTTCTTTCATGACAGGAGTTGGAATGAATTTCAAACCCCGAGAGAGTAAATTGATCTGCTCTGTTGTTAGTTCTGTGTCTGAGAGGTTCTTAATGTGTTTTTTGCGTGTCTCTATGGCTTCGTTATATAGCTTAATGTGTTTGACATTTTTCCGCTTTCTTCTCCTGTTTTTTCTTTCAGTGAGTGTTTTACTATTTATCCCCTTCTCTTTTCCTTTGTTAGAAACAGAGAGAACACTGGGATACGATTCACTTTGTTTATTCTCAATATCAGTAAACTTTGACATCATTTGTGAGAACTTGTCGAAACTTGTTTCAATTTGTGATATTTCAACTTGTCTACTGAAACGTTTCAGTACACTAACTTTAACAGCTGCCACCCACCAGGCGTTAAAAAAGGTTTTGTCAAAGGAGAGGCTCTTAGACTTCTAAGAACTAACTCTTCTAAAGTCATATTTGACAAGAATATTAAAAACTTTAAAACACGCCTTATCTCGAGAGGCTACCCAGAGAGTATGGTAGAAAAGATCCTCTCAGAAGTTAAATATGCAGATAGAGCGACAGCTCTGACACAAAAACAGAAAGCGCAAAAAATACTTTTACCCTTTGTCACGCAATTTCAACCGTCATTACCAGGTTTGAAAAACATACTAATGGAAAAATGGCATTTAATAGAAAACCAGCCACTACTCAGAGAGATATTCAAGGAACCTCCCTTGATCTCTTATAGAAAAGGAAAGTCGCTTTAAAGACATGCTTGTTAAAAAAGCAAAACTGTAAAGGCTTATAACAGCACAACGGTCACACAGCAGGAGCCGCGCAGGTCTGTCAACCCCATTTTACCAAGTTGTTGTTTTGCTTATTAAACCTTTTTTTTTTTTTTACCTTTCGTTGCCGTCCGCGTCGTTGGATCTTAAAGTCTCTAATGTCCTTTGAAACGCCACGATTTCCCCCGTGACATCATGTGAAAACTGCTCTATAGACCTTTTTAGCTTGTCTGTTTTGTTATCCCATTTAAGAGTACGTGATGCCCATGATCTTAAGGGAATTTGCCTTTTGTCTTTTCTTCAATATCCTTCCCACAGTCCGCGTTACGGATTTCGTGCCGCCAGAGCTCCCGTGAGCGAGTGTTCAACCTATCCAGGGTAAATACCCTGGCAAAAAGCTAACCCTAATAAAGCTTCAAAGGGGGCTTTTTCTTCCCTCGTTCCCACCTGGTTAAAAGGTGTGTTCACACTGTTGAGGTCAATCACCTTACTTTAGCATCGTTGTACATCATAATATGCTCTTTAAGTGTGGTGTTTCCACTTGTTCCCAGCTTAACCTCAGAAAACAGCCGACGTTTGATGACGCCACCACTGGTTTCCCCGCGTAATGACGTCTGAGAAACGAGCGCGGAAATTCCACACTGATGACGTGTCACTACCCAGATCTGGGTAGTACTTCTGATTGGTTAAAAATTTGCCTCAACTAATCAGAGGTTCTACCCAGATCAGGATAGTGACGAAAATAAAAATCCATCCGCGATGGGACCCGAAGTATCTCTTACTACGGGGGTGTACAAGCTTGTACACGTGCAACTAACTTCATGGATTGAAATACCTTGACAAAACGCAGGGTTTGTAAAAAGTCTTGAAATTTGTTCAGCAATTTTCCAGAACCTGAAAAAAGTCTGGAAAATGGAGATAAAGTCAGGAAAAATAGTAGAAATTCTTGAATTTTTCTTTTTTTTTTTTTGCAAAGCTACAGTAACTAGTGCTTTATAAGTGAATTTTTTTCGTTTTGGTGAAATCTTATTCAATTTCTCCGGTATGTTTGCAGCCTATCATGGTCATGAAAAAAGCTTTTTTGTTCCTGCGTTTTTTAAGGTGTCTATTGATCAATGACCTATTTGATAATTTTGAGTCTGGAAAAAGAAATTATTGTTTTGTAAAAAAATCCGAAAAAAGTCTTGAATATATTGTCTGGTATATGTGCAAAGCGAAAAAGGATCACCTCGGGATTTCAGAAAGTAAAGCAGGGATGTTGGAACGGACCGAAAAGAATTGTTACCAGGCCTGTCTCCATTGGTTCCTAGGAGAACTTCGATGCGAACGTAGGCGTCTACAAAATTTAGAATCACGCTTACGATTAACGCCACTTTGAAACATGTGGCTAAGCTCTCTCTTTGTTTGTCATTTAATGTTTAAAAAATAAAGACATTCATGCCAGGTTTATCCGTAAGGATAATTTTCTCGGTTTTTATCTGTTGATTTCCTAACGTGAGTAATTGTAATACTTGAACCTGATGTTTCGACTTTGCCGTCAACGTAATTCTACGATTCCAAATCGACGGGAGTGATCGTGGCAGTAACTTTTATGCGGAGACCAAATTTATGGATTGTAGTAGTCGTTGAGAGGAAAATCGAGATATTTAGAGTCGCGTTTACGGCAGATGGCAAACATTAGACCCAAGGCGACATTTCCTTGAATCAGGAAATAAACAGGAACAAATTTTGCAAAATACATGTTATGGATTAAACTGGTCGACAGCGAACTACTAACTTTTTTGTGTAGATACAGCAAGATAAACAAATACAACAAGTGAATCGGCTTCTGACGCTGAAAACTGAGTAAGAGTGGAGCAGTGGTAAGCACTTGCTTCCCTTCCCCCGGCCGGGGAGGGGGTTACCGGTACTTCCTACAATGGCCTTTATGGGGAGGCTCCGACTAAAAGGGGTACCTTTTTCATGCTTTTGGTATATGAAATGGTACGAGTTTGTTGTTGGTTTTCTGCCTGTCCGAGAGGTTTTTCTCTGGGTTCTCCGATTTTTCCCTCTCTCCAAAAACCAACCTTTCCAAAGTCCAATTCGACCCAGAACAGACGGACGCGTATAAGTTTTTAGCAACTTCTAAATGCTCCGTGGGAAAACAAATTACAAATTACCAGTTTATTTGTTTATTTTTTTAGACTGATACCTTGGTTACGTCAGAATTAACGTTGCCGTTTGACGTGAAAATGTGATTCTAAATCTCTCTTATATAGGAAATGCTGATTTTTTGTTAAAGAGAAAATAGATAGTTAAGGAGAAACACAAGAGGTCTTAACAACGAAAGGGTCAATAAAGTTTCCTCGTTGAGCTTGCTATCTCATACGCTTTATTTTTAAAAACCTGTTGAGATTACATTAATATACAAATTACAATGAAACTTCCATGTGCGGCCTTCTAGGATACGCGACATGTTTTCCTACTCTAAGGTTCTCTTAACACTACTGAAAACTGGACCACCAAATCTTTACACTTTAGGTGGATATTATTTTTCTACAGCAAGTACTTAAAAAAACATACTACTCTTCTATACTAATATACCAACCTATAATGTTTAGTTAAGGTAAAAAACCACTGCAAACACCGTGAACGAACAATCTTGCTCAACGTCGGATCCAAAAAGATCGTGATCAGTCAAAATAGAAAAAATTGAAAACGTTACAGTCAAGAAGACTTTTGCAGGGACTGATCAAACAACGTAAAATACTAACCTATGCTCAGGCATGAATATTATACAATGAAATAACCTTAGTTTACCACTGTTATGGCTAGTTTGGAGTTTGGACAAGTTGGTTTCGCTAGACTTTTAGTTGACTTGAGTCGTCAAACCTTATTTCATAATGCAAGGTTGCAGAACTATATACTGTACTTCTATGTCCACAGAAAGATTGGCTCTAAAATATATACAATTCGACTAAACTATAAACCTTGCAATGTTGTTTACATTGTAATCAAACTTCAATTTGCGATTAAGAATCTCGTTTACGTGAAAAGTATTTGTTAGTTGTAGCCTTAGTGACTAATTAAGGAAGTAAGTTAACAAATTACCTAAATAGATAGCCTAGGAAATTATCTAATCCTGATGTTATTCGCGTCGCAATTACAGTGTATCATTGTCCTAGCTACCGATGTACACTTTTACGAGGCTGGTGATTGGTGCTTTTGCAAGACATTTTAGACCGAGATTAGTCAAGAGTACTCAAGGTACCTATGTACACACACACATACAAATTCATAAAATCAGCGCGAAAAATAATCAAGCCGGCAAAGATGAACAGCTGGCCAGAGCAAGTCAGTTCTCTTTTAATTCTTCTAGTCTGGGTTATGTTCGTATGCTGCAAGGATTGACCATTTACATTTTCCGCCAGGGACTACCTCATTGGAATTCTGCGGAAGGGCTGTTCTGTTCTGTTCCATGGTGTGTCGTTAGTGTAATACCTGGAACAGTGATAAGAAACATAAAAATTAGTAAAACACATATATTAATTACAAAAGACTCCAGCTGGGGTAAGTGGCATTTAGGTTCATTTTACATGGAAGAGGGATTTATCATAAGGGAAAAGTTGACTTATTTAAGTTTATCTCACCGCTAAAACTTTCCAATTAGGCATCACCTATGAAAAGCAGGGTGCACAACTAAAATAGGTTTGAAACTCCTTGCCTTGATGACCTTTGGAATCTCGGTCTTTTCTCTTTATAGTCCAAGTTTAGAGCCAGTGTACTACTGTCAGTGTCCGCGAAAAGCCCTGTAGTTACGTTCAAGACGCCATACACAGCCGACAATTTGTAGTTTTTAGTGTTTTCGATCAATTCTCAGATCTAGATCTCCGCCACGATATGTTTATTCCGATTATCTTTATATCAAACAAAAAACTACCTTGGGCTGTTTGTTTTGGTTACAGTTCGGGAATTCACATACCATAGTATATTCAGCCAACCCTCATGTTCATATTGAGCGGTAACAAATAAAAGAATATTCAATTATTTATGCCTCATATATCACGAAAAAGAAAAAAGATTTAAAATCATTCTGTGTTACAGTAGGGATACGGGGATTATTTTTTGTGTGCGTTTAGTATCTATCGATGTTAAAAAGCGGTTGATTGATATTTTACCTCAGTCATAGTAAAAGCTGACTTCAGGTGTAGTCAATAATGTGGCTTTCAAGGTTGAATACCGCTTTTTAAATTATTTAGTACTTGAAAGTACAAATGTACCTAAGTTGATAAAACTGCAATACAAAAAGACCTGGCAGATTTCCTATGGCCCTAATTATCAGAAAGCACCAATTACCTTCACTTTTCTTCACCAAAGTGAAATGACACGTCATCCCCAATCAGCATGAAAGGTGCCCACTGTCTCACTTCAGAGAAACCGTTATTTCGCATCCACTTCATGGCCCGGTGAAGACATTCACATGCACTTTCTCCTTGGACAAGGTTTTCGTAGAATCTTCTCATGAACTGTTCTGTTGCATCGTCTTGTAAGGCCCACAGTGCCACCAACACTGAGCGTGCACCTGATCCTAAGAATGCTCGAGCGATTCCAACAACGCCTTCTGTTTTGATCTGTCCACGTGCGGTATGGCAACAGCTAAGGACCACCAGTTTGGCTGACAGTCTAACTTGTGAAATGTCGGTCATTGTCAGTAAGTAGTCTGCTTCATGTGGAGTCTCCATTGTGGGGTCAAGTGGGGTAAGGGAAATTTCTCCTCTTTCGGCATCACCATGAGCAGCGAAATGTATGAGACTCACTAAGGGTATTCTCTGAAGAACTTCTTGCCTTGTTGCTTGCTCTCCTATTAAAAGGTGAGATTCAGGTAGTAGTCTTGCAATCATCTCTGCTTCCGCTTTCGCGCCAGGCAGTGGACAGAGATACCTTAACTCTCCCTTGAAATACACATTCGTCACTTTTGGCTCACCCACAATCAATGCACCAGTTTCGCTGTGAGAGTCCGCTGGACTGTCCAGAATGAGCTTGAGCGTCGTCAAAGAAGGAACAATGCGTATCCTGAATGAATCTGATAAAAAGTGGTTACTTTCATCATGTAATGCTGCAAACGGAACTTTGAAGAAGCAGCGATCAGGAACAACAATAATTTCAGATCCTTCTAGTACGTCACTTACAGGACCAATCAACATGTTGTAAATCTGAACAAGTGTTGGCGGTTCAGGGTCTGTCTGTACTTCGTCCTCATCTAAAGAAAGACGCAAGGATGAGAGACTATCTTCCAGATTTGATTCGTTTGTAAGTTGGTTGGTGTAAGAGGAGAAGAGTGATCGGTCTTCGCATTGCTCTTGAGGTAAAACGTGAAAATTTCTTAATAAGCTTTCGTTTCCAAAAAGGTCATCCACAGAGATTTTGCCGTCCTTGCTAACATAGCTTTCACAAAGTTTCGTTCTTCGGCAAGCCACCAGTTTGCTTTGTTTCAAAACCCACAAAAATATGTTGTCAGAGTAGTAGGAGATGTATAGGCAAGTGCTGTTGCCATTTTTCGTCGTTACTTCCTCAATGCCAACAAACGATTGTGTGTCGATGGATATTTCTTTTTCAATGGAGTAACGGTTTGACATTAGTTCTGCAAGAGCTTTGGCCCGTCCAAGTTCAGCAACGTGTAAAGCTTCATAGGGTTTCCCATAAGAAAAACTCAGTGAACTAAACTGCCGATAGGGTTCCGCGTGGTTGTCAAAAAATGATATCTTGCGGCCATCTTTGTTTCCTAGAAAGCTATGCATTTTTTCGAAAATTTGAATACTTCTATGGAGAATCAATAAGGCTTCAGATATGTTTCCTTTCGAGTTTAAAACACACCAAAATAGGGAAAGTAAAGATTTATATTGCAAATTGATGTTTACAGTCCTCCTGCTAATTTCAAGAGAATTCTGAAAATATTTTTGAGCCTTCACATCTTCACCTAGGCTCAGGTGGCATGTTTCTTCTCTGTCTCTGTCGACAATGGTAAGCGCTTTATGAAGATATTCTTCAGCCTTGGCATATTCTCCGACAGACTGGAATACCGCTCCTAGGTTTGAGTAGCATGTCGCTTCTCCGTCTCTGTCGCCAATGTCTGTCTCGATGGTAAGTGCTTTATGAAGATATTCTTCAGCCTTGGCATATTCTCCGACAGACTGAAATAACGTTCCTAGGTTTGCGTAGCATGTCGCTTCTCCGTCTCTGTCGCCAATGTCTGTGTTGATGGTAAGTGCTTTATGAAGATATTCTTCAGCCTTGGCATATTCTCCGACAGACTGAAATAACGTTCCTAGGTTTGCGTAGCATGCCGCTTCTCCGTTTCTGTCGCCAATGTCTGTCTTGATGGTAAGTGCTTTATGAAGATATTCTTCAGCCTTGGCATATTCTCCGACAGACCAAAATAACGTTCCTAGGTTTCCGTAGCATGTCGCTTCTCCGTTTCTGTCGCCAATGTCTGTCTTGATGGTAAGTGCTTTATGAAGATATTCTTCAGCCTTGGCATATTGTCCGACAGACCGAAATAACGTTCCTAGGTTTGCGTAGAATGTCGCTTCTCCGTCTCTGTTGCCAATGTCTGTGTTGATGGTAAGTGCTTTATGAAGATATTCTTCAGCCTTGGCATATTCTCCGACAGACTGAAATAACGTTCCTAGGTTTCCGTAGCATGTCGCTTCTTCGTTTCTGTCGCCAATGTCTGTGTTGATGGTAAGTGCTTTATGAAGATATTCTTCAGCCTTGGCATATTCTCCGACAGACCAAAATAACGTTCCTAGGTTTCCGTAGCATGTCGCTTCTCCGTTTCTGTCGCCAATGTCTGTCTTGATGGTAAGTGCTTTATGAAGATATTCTTCAGCCTTGGCATATTTTCCGACAGACTTAAATAACGTTCCTAGGTTTCCGTAGCATGTCGCTTCTTTGCGTCTGTTGCCAATGTCTGTGTTGATGGTAAGTGCTTTATGAAGATATTCTTCAGCCTTGGCATATTCTCCGACAGACTGAAATAACGTTCCTAGGTTTGCGTAGCATGTCGCTTCTCCGTCTCTGTCGCCAATGTCTGTGTTGATGGTAAGTGCTTTATGAAGATATTCTTCAGCCTTGGCATATTCTCCGACAGACTGAAATAACGTTCCTAGGTTTCCGTAGCATGTCGCTTCTTTGCGTCTGTTGCCAGTGTCTGTGTTGATGGTAAGTGCTTTATGAAGATATTCTTCAGCCTTGACATATTCTCCGACAGACTGAAATAACACTCCTAGGTTTGCGTAGCATGTCGCTTCTCCGTCTTTGTCGTTGATTTCTTTGTTGACACCGAGTGCTTTTTTGAGGAATGCTTCTGCTTCCTTGTATTTACATTTTCGGTAGTACATTGTTGCTAGCATTAAGGCTGTCTCACCTTCTTCTTTTTTTCTCTTACAGTCACGAAGTAGGACTAAAAGGTTTTGGCCAGATTCTATAGGCGGTGAAAGATTCTTAATAGCAGCATACCCATCAAACAGCCTTTTGTACAGCGTTATACTCAATTTTGTGGCAGAGTCATTTTCTATCTCTAAGGCCTTGTTGTTTAGGAGTATTATGCACTCGTTCCACAGCATGATAGCCTGGACAACTCGTTTAGTTTTCGAAAGGAAATCTCCCGTAATCACGCCGTGGAAAATCTTTTCTAGAACCTTGTCCATAACGGCTTTCTCTGAAAGATAGGTAAAAACAAGACTAGCAATATTAGCAAATTGTTTTACGAAAGTAGAGTTATAGTCACAAACGCTATAATTGATATCCCCTTGGTTAAGTAATAGCTAGGAAAAAGAAATTTTCCCTCAAAATAAATATTTTTTTCTATTACATGAACAAATCTGTTATTGGGTCAGGTATCTCTTTATGTAAAAGTGTAAAATATGTAAAGGTGACCTGGGTTTGGAAAGCAAAGCTGGATTTGCACTTAAAAGCAGTTCGTTTTCGATGTATTAAAATGATATTTTAATGTTTAAAAATACATGTGTATGTCTATAGTTCGTGTCTGCAGACTTGTATTTACAAAAAAAGACACAACAACAAAAGTTTTAAGGCGTCATTGGATTTTCAAAAAATTAAAAAACCACGTGTTTCTCTGGTAAAATTTTGAGTTAGGAACTTCCAAAGCAGGAAGTAAAGCTAATAAAAGTAAACGACAACCACGCAAATTGAAGGGTCAAGGATTTTACGAGTTTTGGAAGAATCGGCTTCAGTGTAAATCCTGTTTTGAAAGCTTAACACTTCAGGAAACACTTGTTGCCTTATTGTTAAATCTTGCACGAAGACCACATTTCAGCGTCTCTTGAGTGTCCTCGGAGAGAGTTTAAGACTGGGTTTAAAACTGCAGACGTATTTAATTGCGTGACGAGTTTCCAACGACTGACTACACTGATTCTGTTCTTAGTAAACATCTTACATTGTAGACTTACGTTGCCTAAACTGTTACGCAAAGAAACGAAATTGTTTGTTTGTGTGTGATTTTTTACAAAATCGCTTACTTAAGGTGAAATGTAATATAAAAACCAGCTCCTTTTCTTGTCACTACAGGTAAACCCTTAGGAGCTTTTAACCTTAAATTTCCTTTATTCCACAGTATCTATATTATAATGATCGTAATTATTTGGGAGAGCTCATTCTGAAAGTCGTTTATGATGATATCTCGATCAGCTAGAAATCAGTTGCAAGTCACGTTTATAAAAAGAAAATATTCTTCTTGAACCAGTCATTCAAATAGTTTAAAGTAGAGACAGTCGCCTTAATTGAAGGCCATCGGGTTGCGAAAAGCTCGTCGAAAACTGATTGCAAAGTTGCTGAAGTGATATGATTATGCCTAAGCTTAATATATGGCTCTGGTTCGCTCGAAAAGTGAAAAAGAAAACGTAGGAGAAATTTGTGCCGAAAAAGGTCAGCTAGAAAGTGGCTCCCAAACAAATGAATGTTTAAAGGTAAGCAATGCTTGTGGCCATTTGCGGCGAAGTCTCGGCCAAGTTGTCCGAATTGATTGCTAGGCTGGACAAGCTATCAGACCTATAAGGCACGGAAACCACGCCGTGACGCAGGATTAAATACCCAACAACTTTCTTTGGGTTCTTCGGGTCTTTACTGCCTAGACCACCACGATAAACGCGGTTAACTAAACAAAACATGGATGAGTTTTCAGTTCCTCAGTATAAATTCGTTGGACAGTCGAGAAATAACAAACATTGTGGAGGAGTTGGAGTGTATGTTAATCAATCTTACCAGTTCACAGAAAGAGCAGATTTGTCGAGGAATCTGGATAGTGTAATGGAGGCACAATTTATAGAACTTAATTCTACCTGGAGTTATTAAAACCGCGTTAGCAAACATTTTGCAATTTTTCGCAACTTCCCCTGTCTAATGACTTGACATATGTTTACTGTGTGGTTTGCTTATGTTGTTTCTTTTTTCTTGCTTGTTTTGTGGCTAGGGATTTGTGTAGAAGTGGATGCAGACAGAATTACTACCTCCCCCCCCCGCCCCTGCCTCTTCCGATTTTTTCCCCTACCCACAATTCTTTCTCTAACACAAGTGACAGTTATTTAAAATCAGCGCGCGCCTAAAGCTGGTTTCAGTGCCGTTTATCAGTTTAGTTTTGTATATGTGAAAACAAGGCTAAGGTGATTCGCCGACCGTGTGACTCTACATCCGGGAACTTAAATAAGACGAGTGTAAGAGAAAAGTCCAGAGGTGTTTATCTGGCAGTAGGGTGAGTTTTTCCGAGTTATTCGATGATATTTCGCTGATGTTAAAAGTGAGAAGATTATGCGTGGTTGTGGATAGTCTTATCAGTGCCGCGAAAGTGTGTGATTGTGTGATTCCCGCATGGTGTTGAAAGGTATGTGATCGCGTGGTTGAACTGCGTTTTCGGCAAAATATTCTGTGCCAGAAATAAAAGCGTTTTGTCGGAGTCTAGCTTAGCTTATTGTACCTTGGAAAGCAACTTTCGACTCAGGAAACCATAGGCCGGTTTTTGCAGATAAGAAGGTGATAATTTGTGTAGTAAATTTCATTCAGTTTGTTGTCTATTTCATGCGAAATCCTGTCGTTTATCGGACCGTGAAAGGAGTAGTGTTTTTCTAATGCAATTCCAGCTGCACCCAGCCCCCCTCCCCCCTTCCCTTTGGGGCTGACCCTTGGGCATTAGCATTTTTTTTGCCTTGGATGGCAAATTCCAAGGGGTGGAGACTCTCGAGCTGTCAAATTCCCCGGGGTGGGGACCAAAAAAGAGGGCAAATGCCCCTTCCTCCGTCAACGCTGCAACATTGTTCAATGATCGCACAGTCGAGTAGTGCAATTTTAAGCTTTTTAGTGTGCGATTTTTTGTTTCAATTAACGTCTTCCTTTGTAATATTGCTATTCTAATAAGACTTCACGCCGTGACGACACCAGTTTATGGTTTTAGCATTGTTATGAAGTTGTTGACATTAAAATTATTAGTGCGCTGTTAAGTTAACTGTTATGAAAAAAACAGAATAGTTTTATGAATATGAAAGGATTTTCTTCAAATAATATCAACGGAAATTTAATTCAATAATAAAACCAAGAAAACGTTGATTCACGCCGATAGCTCCCGATTTTGCTACGTAATTCTGGTTTAATAAGCAATGAAGAAATGTATACATAAAATCGAGAACATGCTTTTACAAACCTCTTCAATTTTTTCCCGTCTTTGACAGATGAGCCAATCTGCTTGTTTTTCCAGTAAAATCCTCTGTGTAGTTATATTCTGATAGGAAACCGCGTGCGTTTCAAAAGCTTGAGGTTGGCCCCGGGGTTGGCAAATGCGCGGCTCTCGGGCAGCGCAAAATTTGCAAATGCCCCACCCCCGGGACTGACAAGGCGGGAAAAGACAAGACAAGACAAGACAATGCTTTATTTGGAGTCTTATACAGTCCTATGTACATCGACTTTCTAACCAAATAATTTAAAATCATAACACACATTGCACACTAGTGAAACTATAATCAATGTTAACCTAAAGAACTAATGATCTTCTTTTCTCATAGCAGTCGAATACGTATTTCGCACGAATACGTATTTTTGCACTGGTTTGTTCTTGCTCGGAGGGTTTATTAACAACAGAAAAACATCATCTGGTGCCATTCTGTTTACTGCTATTCGGTATTCTTTGTTTAAGTATTCAAATAAATTCTTTCTTTTTTCTTGATACGCAGGGCACAGAGTTAAAAAGTGTATTTCATCTTCTACGTCTTTTTTACAGATAGGACAGATCCTCTCTTCCGGTTTCTTATAAGGTCTTATATACCGACCTGTCTCTATCGCTAATTTGTGATTACTTAGACGGAGTTTAGTTAGAGTTATCCGGTGTCGGATGTTGGTGACCTTACGGAGATAATCTTCACATTTATAGTTCTCAATTGTTTTAAATTTTCGGAAGGTTCTTAGTTTGTTCTTTTGGTTGGCGTCTTTTCTTACGTCATTGTTTACGTCACTAACCATGTTTGTAATTCGATGTCTTTCAGTCTTTGTTTGATAATGTTCAAGATTCCTATGTCATTTTCATGTGCTTTTGTCCAGAGGTATCCCAGCCCTATTTGGTCTAATACGCGTTTGATTTTTTGGCTCCATAATTCCTTATTGATCCTCGACTTTATATCATTATAAACCACCTGTCATAATTTGTGTTTTGGGTGTTTGGTTAGAGTTAGCCAAAACTTAAAATTCCTATATTGTGCTTCAATTTTTATTGGGAATCTTCCTGTTTCAGCCCTACATGCATTGTTGCTGCAGTATTTACGCAATAGCGCGGGGGAGGGGGCTGGGCGCAGCTGGAATTGACTGATGTATTAGTTGTTATGTAAGCCTTAACCAAGCACTCTTTCGCTGCAGCTCACTCAACTTAAAAATTTATAGACTGAAATGAGACCGGTTTGAAACTTCACGAAGTTAGATTACTGAATAAATGTTCTAAAATTTGCGTCATTTTAAATTTGGAGTCTTTCGAATTCTTCTAGGGACCATTAACTTACTGCCCGGCGTCGGATAAAGGCTTTTAATCGGCCTTTGAATGAGTTTTATTGTTTTAAATTGTCAAGTCGTAGAATGAATTGATATTTTTGCTAACCTGGTTTTCAAAAATTCAGGTATATACAGTACTAAGAAATCGTGTCTGTTCTGAATTACAACTTGTCTCTTTCATTCAGAATCAAAACGGTATACAATGAACCACTGGTTTTACATAGGGTACGCTATTGCACGTACTTAACAAAAACGAAAATATTATCAATGCAGGATACTGGGTACTTTCTGAAAATCACAAAAAATTAATTCCCAGCAAGAAAAATATCGGGCGCCATATGGGACAATATTGTCATTCAATTTATATTGGTTTTAATAAATATATATTCGTACCATTGCATGATATATTCATGTCTAATAAAACATATTCGTACCACTGTATAATATATATTTATGCCTATACAGCTTTAAAAATGTATACGCCTATTGCGCCTGCTGATCAGCGGAGTAAATAGGGGGTGCGATGCAGAGGAATAAGAAAAATTATCACTTTCGTAAAACTTATTGTAGCTAAAATTTTCGGGAAAATAATACTGAAACCCTTTTAATTAAAAAAAAAAACTCAAGTTGCCCTAGGATTACCGAACAGATAAATTTTTTATCGCCA